TCGACACTTAACTGAAAACTGCTCTTTCACTGTTTGATTTGAAGGAAAAATTTCCTTTTTTCTTTTCTCTTTATTGTGGCGAATAGGGTAAATAAACTAGCCAAATTGCAAGTCTGGCATAACGCTTATGCTTAAGGTGGCTCGTACCAGTTTCCTCGCGCGGGGAACAGACCACTCTTGCGTCATGCGAGAGAGAAACGTGCGAAAGAAGCGCGAGATTAAAAGACGAAAATGTAAAACAAAGATGGCGGCGCGAGGATTTTTTCTACTTATGTGAGAAGTTTTCCTAAGAGCTTGCATTTGAGGTGTTGAGCGGCCACTGTGAATGCAGGAGATAGAAACTAAGATAAAGAAGACGATTTTCGGAGAAGTAAAGGTTGCTTCACTTCACTTTTAAAAGAAATATTCAACCGATATGAAATCTTGCGACGGCGAAAAAAGAACTCAAGTGAAGGATAATCTAAATCTACCTGAAGTGGAAGAAGACTTTGAAACTTCAAGGAAAATAATATGATATAGCCAGAAGTCATGTGTAGGATTTTTAAGATGAGCCCGGGAGGCCGTCTTTGACGGTTGTTTAATGATTTTCTTAGCAGTAAACGTCTGTAAACATTAGATCGTAAGCGGTCGCGCGAGCACACTCAATTGTCAGCGGTAGCTAAAACAGATCATGAGCAAATATCGATCTTATAGAATCCAGATTTTTAAATGCGCGAGAACGCGCGTGGAAATTGCTAATCTCACGAAAGCTATTGCATGAAAACAAGTCCGGTGACCCCTTCTTTTTATTGTTCCAATATGATAATAACGTCGAAAGGAATCATCAGAAAAAAAATTAGAAAATTTTACGGAAGAAAATTTGCGATGTCTGAAAATTGCCTTTTTTCCAGATTTTCTGAAATTCCGCTGCACAGAATTTTTTAAAAATCTATGTGCATTTTCCTTTTCAAGTGCCAAAAGCAATCACTGAAAAAAATCATGGGGTCACCGGGTTAGTTTTCGAATTATTTAAGCCACAAGCTAGAAAATACGTCTGAATACGCCTATGAAAGTGTTGCCATGGAAACTGCTAGTGACGAAATGACACCTATTTTTGGATGACCAATTATTACATAATTCAACCCCGTAAAAGTGTTCGACTGGCCTTGGTCAGTCTTTCTGTTGTATTCTTTCAAAGTTACAAACCATCAAAAAGATGAAAACCGGTACGATCCACCTTAATTGATACCTTCTGTCGCAAGGAAATGAGTTAAGAGATTTGGAGGCGAACTGGTTAAAGTAGTGGCGAACTTTTTTTGCTGTTGGAGGCGGACTTGCCCGGGTGGTAAGGAACGAACAGTTAAAAGTTGTGGGCTGAGTGAACTGACGGTCATTTCAACATGTCGTGCTGGCACCATCATAAGGGATTTCCTACATTTTCAGTGGAGTAACAAGTATTCTCGTGGCATGTTTTTTTACTCAAAGAGATATAAATTAAAGGACATAACACTGATGAAAAAAAAAAAGTTGTCGAGAAGGGGTAAAATTGATTGGCGTTAGGTAAACGTGGTTCAGACTTTGGGGTCTCTGAAAATCAAAAGTGGATTATTTTTTAAGAAAAACGTGAAATTTGCTTGAGGCAAGAACAGTTGGAAATATTTTGTATTTTGTACAGATTCTACAGTGCTATCGTGTCAATGTTGTTTCCCAATGTTCTCAATAATTCACATTCTTCACTTTCGTTCCAGACATGCGAGTCTTTACAGACTGAAAATGATATGACGTCAAGGGAGAGATGTCAGGCTTTGCTATGGGAATACCAAGCGTCTGCGACCGTGGACAGCGATGACGTGAGTTCTTTAGAGGACTGTGAGAAAGGTTTCCCCGAGTCCTAACTCAATTGCGTTCACTCTTTTAAGCGGGTGATTACGGTAATTTCTAAGAAAACATCTCAAAGACAACTGTCTTTACTTGGTAAGATTTTGTGTAGTAGCAGAATAAAAAAGACAAGTTTTGGTAAAGTTCTTCTTCAGTTAATAGGGACCCTGGCGCGAACCAAAACATGGCAAACCAAAAGATCTGATGGGTAGAACAATAGCTCAAGCAGGAGCGTCTTAAAATTGTACACCATTCTTAGCCGTCCTCTGCGAAAAAACAATGTGAAATCACCAAACCCTGCGTGGCCTGAGAACGGAAACATCGACGAAAAATTATGTAAGCTTTCATTTGAAATTCAACGCTGCTCCGACAAACGTTCTGCGGAAGTTGAGGTGTGGCATCGTGAGAGAAGGTAAACACATCCGGCCATTCGCGAAATTCTAGTTGAAAATTTAAATTCAATTCTGAATCGGTGTCTTCTTTGGTATTGTCGTCCAGACTGCTTAAGGTCCCTGGCTACTATGTTGCCATGTATACTAGAGACGTAGGACATTGATCGCAGCCGTTCTGACGTGTCACCGGCGTCGGTGCGTCGTAAACTAGAGTCCATTTTTCCTCGGAGTTTTAGTGTCTTGAATAATTAAGATAAGTACAGCGAAAAAAGCTTTTTTTTTTCTTTCTGATCTAATACTCCCTTTGTGCGACAACAGTTTAAAAAATGGTAGTTATCGATAGGAATTATAATGAGGAACATGGAAGATTTTCGTTCTGCACAATCTTTATTCAGTTTCAAATTTGGACTATTTACTAACAATTTATTCACGCTAAGTGACCTTAAATGCAAATTGTAGTCTCATTAGTTGCTAACAGCCGCGGCAAAAAAAAAAAAAACATTAGCAAAAATCACTTGAAGAATCGGTCGCACGAAGCCATTTGCTGAAGTTCTAGGCCCAGCAGAGCCGGTTAGTCGTGTTTAGGCTCGATAACTCCATGAGATCAACCACAACAACACTTAAGCTGTTTTTTGTGTTTGGATTATTCAATTGAAGTACTTACTAAACGATATGAATTTTCCTGTTAGTAGGTAAAATAGCATGAAAAACAATTGAGATTTCTGAGGCGTATAATTTGGATCACTTCGCTCACGACTTAATTCCTTCTCCCATTAATGTGTTCCTTTGTTTCTCTGACGTCGGGCGTCTTTTGTAAGAGCTTAAAAGTCCATTTCCTTTGATATATTACCCTGCCACTGCTTTGGGCCGCCTGTGTTTACACAATGTTGACCGCATGGTTTAAGATGGAAATGCTTGAGTCTTCAGTTCCGTTGCACCCTTTTTGTCAGTGAGCCCGAAGCTAGAGGTGTAAACAACATGCGATAAAAGATTCGACTTTGTGATGTCTCGACTGCAAAAGTTGGAGTGTGTTGCAAATTACTTACTATGGAGAGTTGTAACTGTCGAAGGCGATTACCGGAATCAGACATGTACTTTGATAGTGTGACATACGCGATTGAGCCATGATTACCATGCGAAGTGTTCTTTTCATAAGCTAGGGAGTGAAATGTAAATATTTGTGTTCTCAAGTGGTAATTAACGGTTGATATGATAATCAAGCTAAGGGCTTCAGCCTGGCTCGGAGCTTCGGCGCACTTGTGTGATCACGATAGATTGTACACGTCTGTGCACTTTACTCACGCGATGACACAATCGAAGCTTGTTGCACCCGTGACAACTTTACAAACTTCAAGACAGTGTTACAGTCGACTTCGAAACGTGTTGGACAGCCAGCCTCAGTTAGTAAGTTTCATTTTCTCAACTTTATACTCAATTGATACTTCGCAAACATCGCTAAAATAATTGCACGCTTTTATGGATAACATGCTTCTGAAAAATCGCGTCATGTAGAGTTTATTTTACCTCCTAGACTACTGTTTAGGACCTGTATTGTTCATTGATAATTCTCGTGTTTCGTATTAGTCTCGTATCTGGGCATGCTTTTTTCCTTCGAGTTTTAAATGAAAAAACTTACTTTGAATTTTACGTAACTTGAACCAAAACTGATTCCCCACTAGATTTTACCCCTACATAATTCGAATCCTTGGTAACTTGGTGTGACTTCTCATCCTTCAGGTCTTTTTCTCAACAATTTTACATTCAATGACTCAGACTTTTTTTAACAAAAATTCAGCACACGTTCAAAACAGAGCCACTGTTGCTGAGTGTTGTTTTTCGCAGTAACGCGCTTTGCTTATAATGAATTATTGAAATACTTTAAAAATGAGTTGATCTTAAAATTGTTTGCTACAAAAAAAACTTACAAGAAGAACTTCCTGTCGCTAACTCGAACCACCAAGGGAAATCAGGTCCAAAGTTACGAGAGTTCGAGGTATTATAGGATTTTGAGATGTGATTTCAACTTTGGGAGAAAATAGTGTTTTCCTTTATTGTTTGATTACTGTCCAACTACTCTGTTGAATCATGTCCAAATCGAAGACTTGAAGAGCAAAAAACTGCCCGTTTTTCCTTTTTCAAAACGAAGCAACAGATCTGAAAAAAATGCGATTTTTCCTCTTTGTAAACAATTTAACATTTGTGTATCACTCAAATCAGCACATGGCAATACAAAGCGATAGATTACGAGTTATTCTTGCATTAATTTCACATTTGTTTTTTCGTATTTGCTTTCAATATTATGGCTTCGATACAACTTCAGAAAACCTCAACACGACCATAAACTAGACAGCCGTTTTCGAGACGTGGAAAGCAGCCGGAAATGAAAATTGCGTCACTAATTTTAAGTCCGGTTGCCGCCCGCCTCTGAAAAACTTCCTTTCTTAAGTTCCTTTCCAGCGGCTCTCACCAGTTGCTCTTGGATTTAGAACTTTTTCTCACGCTACTATCTGCTATAATGTGATTCGATTATTATTATTATTATTATTCAACAACCCCCTCAGAAGTAATATTCATAAAAATTCAACACCATGGTAGGGCAAAACTACCAACCTTGTAAGGGAACATACTTACTCGGCCAAAACCGGGACTCTTTACAGCAGATGATTCAAAACCGTCACCTTGCGTTTTAGTAGGGACAAATAACAATTTGAAAAGGCGGATTTCTTTCCCCTTTGAATTTTATGGCTGGATCATTAGACCAGCATACTCCAAGGGTATATTTGAGGGATTCTGCCGCGATCGATCGTTATAGTCTGGACGAAAAACATTTTATCGTTTTTTCTTTTTGCCAGGAGAATGTTGTTGCATTTTCACTAAGGAAACGTCGTTTCAACGGGGCCTCAGGGCTTACGATTATTGTTTATTTTACATCCTTGCGGCGGTTGATCATTTACATAACACTGTGGTCATTCGTGTGAGAGTTTTGACAAATGACCATATAGCTGTATGTCCATAAGGCGTCGCCAAGGCTTTCCGGTGGAGGGAATTATAACGCTTATGAGATTCTGCAGTAAAGTAGGTTGTTCACGATGACTTCCTATTACTTGACGTTTTTGTTCATTCCGTAGACCACCAAGAGGAAGACAGTGCAAGGGGAGAAGAAACATCATGACACTCTGATGGGATCAATCTCAGTGGCTGCTTCTTTCAATGGCTTTCTCAAACAAGTGAGTAACTCAAGTCTTTGATCTCTAATAGTAACCCTTGCAAGGGTGGAATCAACCTACTCAGCTGCTCGAAGCCAGGCACCCAACTTAATCTTCAATTCGAAGATCTAGTGTGCCTTTTCTCAGTAAAATCACGGTCACAAAAGAAACAAGGGTAACCTGATTTCCGATCCTTATAAACGCAACTTCCATACATTTGTTCTGTGAATGGTCAGTTTTGACCTTTTGCGATCCTTTGGCGTTTCATCCTGTAGGAGCTACCCCAGCTAATTGTGTGTAGAGAAACAACGGTGATATTTTGGTTTGTTTTGCGTGGGTCTCTTACCTGCTGGGAAACTAAACGAAAATAAATTCATGAATCGACCTTTGCGAGAATTTCAAGTATCCTTCATTGTTATGACACTAACAGCAGACAGGTGATAACCCATGCAACCACTCAGGCTGGCAACACTAGGTGACTGTATCTGAATAATTTCCAGAATAAAAATACTCAAATATTATTCATTCTGTAAAATTTTCCTTTTTGCTCAGTTTTACAAAACATACGATAGAGGAAGTACATTTAGATCATCCTCCGCTGTCAGCAATACCTTTTCGTCATTTATCTCGTTTATTGATTGATGTCAACAAACCATTCAGTTATGTTTATTTAATTTTACAATCCCTTAACCTTTTTAGTGTAACTGTGGCTTAAATTCAAATGAGCCAAAATGTCAAAACATCTTCATGTTTCTGATGAAGACATGCTGTTCCATGCCAATACTTAAGTGCAAGGTATAAAAGTTATGATATTTTTTGCAAAATTAGTTTTTCAGTTCTTTGGATATTATCTTTTTACACTGAATTGATATGGAAGAGTGAAATTTCTAAAATGATTAGGAGTAGGTTCTGAGCTCTACGTTTAAGTTTGTCAGCCAGAAGGTAAGCCTGTCGTGCTAGCTTTAGATAATATTTCGTCTAGAAATTCTTCGTTTTGGTAATTGTGGCTTAAATTCAAATGAATCAACATGTCAAAACATCTGCAAGTTTCTAATGGAGACATGCTGTTGCATGCGTATAACAAAGTGCAAGGTGTAAAATTATAACATTTTTGGCAAAATAAGTTTTCAGTTCTTTGGTTATCATCTCTCTACAAATAATATGACAGAGTGAAATTTCTAAAATGATGAGGAGTGGGTTCTGTCACTCAGTTATGAAATGTTTCGAAATGATTGAAGGAGTCTGATCTTTGCCTCAACAGGAGACCTTCTCCTATACTTACCTTTAGACGAGAAGAACGATGATACAATTTAATGTTTCTCCAAAGAAGCGTTTTCGTGGAGATGTATCGTTGACCGCTTGTTTAATAAACAAGTGCATGCAAGACATACCTAGCGATCCGAGATGATGTTTATAGAAGTTTTATGTGATTCTGTCACTTTTCGCATTTCCTATAATTTCTTGGAAGAATGATTATCTCACACCTGTGGGGATGTTCATGGTCAATAAATTCGCTTAAGGATGGTTCTATAACATAAAATCATATCGCTGCAGTATGCTATATGTTCTTTTGTTTGATCAATAAACAAAATATTTTTATTTGAAGTGGATAAATCATCGTACTCATAGAAATCTGTTTTATATTTTTTTTGCCAGACAACAAAACCGCAAGAGCGAAATCGTTTTGTAAAGACTCAAAATAATGAAGAATCGTTCTGCAACCTCGATGGCGCAAATTCTGGGCAAGAAAGAAACAAAACAAGTCCTAAACCAGAAGAAATGAAAGCGGAGAAAACTAAGGTCTTTGAAAACTCAAAAGCCACTTTCAGTAACTCATTGAACAGCGAAAAGGATCGACTTGCATCAAATACATTAAAGGACAGGTCATCATATACTAGTAATGACATCAGTAATCAGGATCCCACGAGAGACCGAAAACGGGACCATTCCTTGACAGAAGACGAAAAACAACAAGTCTTGTCTCTTTTAACATCAACAAAGCTAAACAAAGGCCCATTTTATGCCGGAGAAAATGATAGAAGAAGTAAGAAACTCAGCAATTCTGTTGAGGATCAGCTCACCAAGCCACCTTCCCCTTCGTCATTTGCTTATTCACACTACGGGCAAACTGAGAGTCAGATGATGTTCAACCCTATCATACCCGCTGGTCGTTCCGCTTCTCCAAGCGTACACTCCGATGTAGGTGAAAATCAGATTCCTTCCGTGCTCACTCCGACCTTTGTACCAATTGCTGTCCCTGTCCCCAGCGTAGCTCCTGTACCAATGCCACCTTACTGGTACATGCCTCAGGGAGGGATGATGTCCTATCCTCACCCAGCGATGTCCCCGGTGCCTATTGTTCCAGTTGACCCTTCAGAAACCTCCAATCAGTCAGTGGTGTTAACAGATAGTGACGTCAGCAACTTATCTGACACGGACCCTCGACCAAAAAGCAAAAACTGCGCCATACAAGAGTCTGATAAATCCGAACGTTTAAAGGAAGAAACACGAAGGAATAACAAGGAATCTAAACAAAACATACAAGAAAACAAAGGATCCAAACTTCCTCGACCGATTTGGCAGAGGCCTGTTCCAAAGAACAGGACAGCATCAGAGGAATCAGAATCGAATGTCAAAGTTGATCGACGAAGGGTACCGTTTAATGATGGATTCAACAAGGGTAGCGAGGAGGAGAAACAAATTCGTACAAGAACTCCTTCTCCATCCCTTGGGAGACGAGCGGTTCCCCAGGAAGTCAATCCTCCTCGCTCTCAAACGCCTCCGGTGTATTGGACAAGAGATGGAGTGGACATGTCACCCCGTAATAAACTTCGAGCAAGGGCATCAACAGGCTCTTTACCAAACCGTCCCCCAAGACCATCTAGCTCACCGAATGGACGTAGAAGGTCAAGTTCTATTACTCTAGGTTCAATAACAAACAGTCCTGTCCAAGGACGTAAGAATCAAGGAAGCAGGCCATCTAGTCCCGCCGGATCGCGATCCAATAGTCCCGTTTCTATACTCGTTTCAAAATTTGAGCAATTGTCTCAGGAGTCTGCAGATAGCTTCCCGCGTGTTCGCTCAGATTCCGTGACGTCCATGATTTCAAGGTTTGGTTCTTCGCCCTTAGTGCCTGAGGATCGTCTTGCCAAAGGGCAGTTTAAGCCAAACATTCTTGCAACACCTAGCCAGCCAACCTCGAAGACTGGTCCTTTTCGTCCGTCGTCAGTTCGTAACAAAGTTCACTCTGCTTCAGATCTTGAAACGTCAGTGATGCGACCTGTTAATTCTATTTTATCACAAGAAAGGGGCAGGGTAAGCGGGACCTCAATCGACGAGTCATCAACCTTTCATCCTGGCGACCCACGTGAAGTACAGTGTAGTGAGTCAGACCCAGGCTCAACTGACAGCCGAGAACGTCGTATTTCAACATCTCAATGTGCACTCCACGAAGAGAGAGAACCAACTTCGGAAAAATGTCATGATTCAAGAACAAGGCTTTTGGAAAACATTAGAAAATGGGCGTCTCCGGAGAATATCATAAGAGACTGTAGTTCATCTGGGGCTCTTGAAAACAACACTCAGGAACGTTTAGTATCTGGTCTCTCTCTATTTGGCGATTATTGTACTAAAAGAGATCAAGGTAATCGAAAAAGTAATCCTAAGGCTCGGCTTCAGAGGAGTTCCTCTGGGAAATCGAAGTTATCCACTTATTCTGGGGGATCGCCATCCAGCAATGATCTCAGGAATGACTATATTATCAAATCAAGCAACACATCGGATAATTTGTCTAAACCCTGGAAGGGAAAAGGCAGTTCTTCAAACGGGATTTCCAGAAAATCGTCTCTAGATTCAGAGCCTGTACGCGAGAAAGGTTCCCCACGATTAACACCGAGGGATCTTTGTTCATCACCAGAAAGAGACCCTACTATCCCATTTTGCGATGTCAGGAGTCCTAACGATTTCCTCTGGTCTCCAAACTCTGACACTCATAAATTTGAGATCCCTGTAGATTTGGCAATTTTGGACGCCACTACACCTATCATTTCCAGTTCTGTGGGTGGACTTGATTGGACATATGGTGGAGTGGATGGAAATGTAATTTCTCCCCCTTTTCCTCTTAGTCCAGGATCATTGAAGGATTTCAAGCCATCAAATGATTTCACAAGTGTTACATTCAAATGTGGAGAGATGGAACCTGAGAGAGACACAAACTGTATTATTAACAAACCATCTCGTGACACTACAGAATATGTCAGTTCTGACTGTGTCTCTAACAGGAGAGGCTCAACAGGCAATTATGCGAGAAGATTCGAAAGAAATATTCTTCGCAGTACAGGTGATTTGGAGACCGAAGTATTTGCCTCTAATTCGACCTCGGTTCAAAAGAGTTGTTATCCAACGGAAAATCCTAGCTCTAAAACGGAGATCAACGATAATCCACGTCCTAAACCCAAAACTTCACCCTTTCCTTCGAAACCAGAAAGCTCGTCGACTATCGCACATGTAAATGGGAATCCTCAAACTCCAAGAACGAGATCTAGAATCGATCAGGTTGCGCGATCGAGACATCCATCCGGTGACTGTCCCCTTGGAAAAGATATTGCCACTGTATCAAAGAATCCTTCCTCACCAGTGACTCTTAGGAAAATCATGTCAAATCCTCTATCTCAAGACGCAGGTACATCGCAACGTAGGATTTCAACGTCCAAACGAAATTCATTGCCCACTTCGCAACCAATTAACCTTCCATCTAGCCGCGATCGTTCGAGCCCGGTTGAAACCCGCCCAATCACGAAGAGCTCATCGCATACTAATTTATCCCAAAAACAGCAAAAGTTCTTTAAAAGTCCTTCGCAAAATAATCTATCAGTGTGTCAATCTTCGAGAGATTTGTCAAGGATTTCCCCTAAAGAAGGAAACCTTGGTAAAAGCAGTCCTTATTCCAAACCCATACCATCAAATACCCCTTGCCTAAATGGAGAAGATAGCAAGAGCAGAGGTTCTTCAACAACTGCTAAACAAGGGTATCCCAGCCCATCAAAAGAGAGACATGATGCAAAAGGGCGGTCTTCGAACCCCCCCGTCAAAGCCGGTAGAACCATTAGTTCCACTTCCACCTCTACTGATCCGTCAGAATCAAACCCAGTTAGGTACCCATATACGAGAAGAGGGAGCATGCCTGCAGGGGGTTGTTCTACCATCAAACCTTCACCAAAAGCGGCCAGCAATCCTACTTCTCCACTCCATACAAAGCCACCGAAAGCGAAAATTGAGTTCTTTGGTGCTACAGGAGAAGACAACACACGCAGCGCGATACATCCTCGAGATTCAAACAGAAAACACGAAAATTTGACAACAACTCACCAAAACCCAAGGCCAAAAAGTCAGATTGATTGTGAAAGCAGTGTTGATTCCTCGAAAGCTCCATCTCAGTGTGCAAAATCATCCTCCAAATCTGGATTCTCTTCCCGAGAGCTCGCCTCGGAACAAAGCTCTAATTCAATGGGTAAAACTGAAGAATCGGAAGTATTTTATATACCTCGCTCTCATGAAACTCTCCTTAAAAGTGACATAACATCGAGTAATAGCAGTAAGCGATTTCCAACTAACTCTTCATCCGACAGTGGATTAAACTTGTCTGATACCGACGAGTCACGAGGAAGTATCGGAAAAGGCAAAAAAAGTCATTGTGCGAGGTCACCTCCTTTGTCCCCAACAACGCTCTCCCCTTCCCATTCGCTTTCTCCGACATCTGCAAAGTTTCCAATAGGACACAAATTTTTTTATGATCCAAAAGATCACAAACATCCACCTTCAAAAAAGGGGCCGCTGAATGTTTCACAAAACGACCCAACGACGTTGGCTTTTTTATCTAATAGATCTAATAGTGTTCAACAGGAAAATTCCTCTAATCCCATTAAGGCTTCCACAGGAAAGTCCAAGGAATCTTCGAACAAAACAACGCAAAGTGATAGTGATAACTTCAAGCATCCTAAAGTTGACATGTCAAAAATAACGGATAAAAGTTCTCCAAACTCTGATGAGAAAGCTAACGATGTTCCTGAAAAACTAAAGGAAGGATGTGCTGCTTCGAAACTAGCAACAAAGGGTAAAATTGGGAGGTCCAACTCAAAAGAGTTTGTGGCGGCGTCCACACCACCTCCAGACATTTTGGGAAGACCTGCTAGTAAAAGCCCTCCATCTTCGTCAAGAGTTGATTCTAAAGAGCTTCTAGGTCAACTGGTTAAAAAAGTACTAAACTCTGCTGCTGCTAAGCAAGGGTCTTCTCCAAAGACATCATTTGCTGAATCAAAGAATTCAGTAGCAAAAGCAAGTGCCAAGGGAAAGACAGTTGCTTTGACTAATGAGATAACAGAGGCTAAACAAGAAGAGAAAATTAGTTGTCAAGGGAAAAATCTAACGACAAATAGCTCTACGCATAAATCATGGCTGTTCGATGCTGAAAAAGCTTCAAAGATAAAGGAGATAGGACTTTTGAGTGAAACTTCCCTAACACGAAATCGACACGAAATCACACCTGAAGGAACACTGCGATCACAACCTGGTACCTTTAGTGATACACCGATTTCCTCCAATAACGCTTCAATAACTGAGGATTCTTCGCGCGCGGTACGTCAACCATTTGTTGTCAAGTTGCAGTTTTTGTAGAACATTTCTAGCATGTAACTGTTGATTTAAGAATCTTACTGTTTTACTAATGCCCCAAGTTATTAACGTTGGCTAGAATTCCTAATTGGTACCATTCCGAAGCCTTGTCTGGTAAGGAGATGTTTAACTATTTCCATTACCTGAGGGTTAAATATACTCTACACATTATAATCCCTTACCGTTGATACACGAGTCCCTGTTTCTGATTCGGCAAAAGATTATCAGAGAATTACCCCCCAAGTGTCTGCCCATACAAGCGCATGTATCTGCTAAATAGTCCAATTCGCAGTGCACGAGGAAACAGCTTTGTCAAGCCATCATAAAAATCTTTAATCGTTCTAGTTGTGTTGTGTCATCAACAGGAAAAATCGTCGCCAGGGGCAAAGGGCGTGCTCTCTACAATCATCGACATGATACATGACGAATTTGCGTTTGATGGCTACTTGGACGATGGAGTAGAAGACGTCAATATGGGTGAGAAACTGAAAACTCCTATGGAGTTTCAATATTGCATGTGAAGTGTTGTGGTTTTTTTGTTATGGGGTTTGACCCAAGGTTAATTTCTTGTGATATGCAAAAGGAAGGAAGGGATAAAGATGTTCCAAGAGGTAAATGAAAATTTCCGGTTTTGAAAACAATTTTTTTGTCGTGGCTTATAGAACTTGTACTTGGGTTATTAAGCAATCGTGCAGTCAGAAACTTTTAACGAAGCTACCAGGAACTGTCTCTCTTGTTCAGGTCTATACATAGATGAACGCCTCAAATTAATTTTGAAACGCTTATATTCAGTTTTTTATCCTCGTTTTAAACAATGTGAGGGCTTAAGACCCTCCTCCTCATAAAATGCAAAGCTTTTAGCACCATTTCCAAGCGCCCAGTGTTTGTTTTTCGCTGTCAAAATAGTGCCTTTTGTTTTGCGGACTTTTGTCTTCGTTTTGCTTACGTCATCAACCATCAGGTCACAAAGAGAAGAGTATTAACCCTTCTTACTAAACGAGGGTTCAATACAAACAAGCGTACAATTTGCTCTCTGGAATCTATATCCTTACGTGAGGGTACTTCGTTGATGCTGCTTTGACGGAACTTACGTGAATCGTCAATTGACTCAATTATGTTCTCCCATCCTTACTTTGCGCCCCTCTAAATCCTAAACGTGTCATTAACTTTACGTTGTCTGTTAATTAACGCCCTCTTCGGTGAGCGCTTGTTAGCAACTTTACAATAAAACTGCCAATTAGCATCAAATGGGCTATAGGTCAAGGGATAAAAAAAGACATTCAATTAACGCGTGCACCTACCAACAAGTTTGTTATTTGAAGACTGTTCAACCAGAACTTTATAGTGAAAATATCTTAACTGTGAATTTGATGCTAACAGGAATGACAAGTATTGTCCTTGCCAATAATATCAAAGTGTAAGCATTTTCTTTATTGACAATACCAACTACCGTTTATATATGTTAAGCTTTTTCAGGTAAAAGGTTAGCCCTTTCGCTCCGACGAAGGGCTAACGCTCGAAACGTCAGCTTTTGTAATCGTTACGGTGGCCAATTTACCATTTCAACTTTGTTGATATATCCAAATTATTTCGTTACTCCCACCGACGCAGCCCCAAACAGTTTCTTTCGAAACTATCAGCCTTTTTTCAGGTAAAGTCGAACTTTGCCAATTTTATGCTGTAGGGCTGAATGAAGGCCAATACATTAGTTCATTTGATGTCAAGTTATTGCTGATTTTGGCCAGTCTTCTTCTCAAATAGTCCGGAAATTGGCATGTACGACCAAAAAACATCCCCAGAGACTCTTTATTCAGAAACTTAATTACCGTCACAATGACGAATTCGACGTTTGACGTAGATATTGTTTTTCAATCTGGAACTAGGTGACACTTAACTGAAATGTCGGGGAAATATCGAGTGTTTTTCCAGGCAATATTGAGAGTTACAGTACCTTTGTGCATTTGTTAACAAACAAGGGCTTGTTTCTTGTTTTCTTCAGCATTTTGTTTACATTTGGCTTTGCACCATAGTTCTTTTTGTATATAATACTATAATACCACATATTATAGTATATTTTCATGCAAAATATTCCTCATTTCTACTTGATTTGCTCTTGACATAACGTCCAACACGACGCAATTAAAATGGCGACGATAGTCGATGGTAATACGAACAAATATACAAGTATATACCGGGCAATATGTCATTGATAAGATTGATTCGTGAATTAGCAGCTCGCCTAAGTGCTTTTATTTGACCGCGGTACTTTATTTGCAGCTGAGTACGTTTTATCTTTGGCTGGAATGAGCGAGGAAAACTTTAAAGAGGCCATAACGGATCAGTACAGTGACTTGTACTGGGATGAAGATCTTTTGCACGAGATGTATGAGGCCGTCACTGAGGGGCAACGGACTAGAAGGTTGGGAAATCTTAATTTAATTACGTGCGGTCTTAATGAAGCATTTTTTCTAAGGTTGAAAGGGAAATTTTGCCCCAGCAATCGCTAACGTATTGAACTGCAAGCTTCCACGAGAATGTGGAGCGTGGAGCGGACGTCCTTTTAATGACTGCGATCTTGTGTCTTACGATGAATGACATTTAAGAAAACTGGTAAAAACTAAACTTATATCTATCTTTACTTATTTTAGTCCTTTTCCATCGCATCTCACAACTTGTCCAAAGCTAAAAGGGCTTGTCGTGTGAAGAGAAACGAAAGTTCGTGTAATTTCTCTATAAGAGCCTCTATCTTAACATACGAAACCGCAGCTTCCATGATATCTAAACCACATAATGTGAAACAGTCAAACTATAGTTTAGCATACAGGTGTATTAAACGGCTGTCACTTCAAAGGGGCAATTGTAAAAGCTCAATTGGAAAGTTCGCTGCCTGTGGTCATCATTTTGCGGCCAATATGAACAGTTTTACTGACGTTTGTGAAAAATAAGCACTTGTAGCAAAAATGGGTGGATTTGGTAGGATTTTCTATTGCTTTGGTGGAGTTTTATTAAGTTACTTAGTTCAGTTTACTTTACGTTGCGTTCTCGCTAATCTAACATGAAAAGGTGTGCGATACAAATATGGTCAGCGGTGTTTACAACAAAACGACGTCACTGGTTTATGACGATTGACTTTTCCAGCCAGAAAAGTTAGACTGAGCGCTATAGTCATAGCATGGGTCTAAATAACACTTTGCTCTCTCTTTCAAAAACTAGGTCCACTTTGCAGTTTTCAGAGAGTACTGTCAGTGATATTAGCCCTCCTGAGTCTATCGGTCTGTCACGTGAAGAATCTTACCTCAGTTTAGAACCTTTGTATTTCAACTCCATCTCCAGAAGCAGCAGTGAGAGGAGCGGGACTGGAGCAAGGGACATCCTCATGTCCCCCCTGGGGGAAGCTACCGAATTTTTACCCATTAAAGTTATTGCCCCTGAAATGCAAGCTGACATCCAGGAATTGTTAACCCCAATTTTTGAGGACTATTATAGAGTTATGGTGAGGGACTAAAAACAGTGATTAGTAGTATTTAACAAATGGTAAATACCGCAGTGTACACTATTGAGTCATGGATGCACACGGGAGATTGCTAAGCACGAAAGAAGCGTACGAGTCGCTCGAGGCTATCTAGTTTCTTGAGTACTTAGCAAGCCTCCCAAGTGCATCATAACTCACTAGTGTATCCTGTGATGTTTATCATTTGTTTTATGACATGAAAACAACTTCTCGCAAAACGTTTGCTTCCTTGGAAACATTTGCTCGCGTCAGCAGCGTACATCTATGGACAAATCGTAGACACTAAATTGACCAATCAGAGCGTGCGCTTTACGTGATTCGTTGTTATAATTTCCTTTGGTTTCAGTGATTAGGGGAGAATAATTAAAGTAGAGAACAAGGATTTTCAGTGTTTTCCATTCTCCACAGTTCAAGCCATTGCATGCTACAATCACACAGGAACCTCTGTAGTATTTCTTTGAAAGCGGCCAGCTTTACACATGCAATCATGACTGTTTTTAGAAATTTCAGTCTCGTTTCGTGTAGATAGGTGAAATCATCGAGGATTTGCCAAAAGCAGTATCTTAATGTCAACCGTTTGTTGATTTTTCCTTAGGGAGTCAAGCTGGTATCGAGCGTGGAGGGGCTAGCAGAAAAGTTAGGCACCAAGATTGTGGTAAGACATTTACTTTTACACACAAGCCAATCAATGTAAGAAGGAAGCATAATTTTCTTCAGCCAATTAGCTTGATCAGATTTCTCATCAGGACTAAAGAAATACACTAAATGTTTCTGCAGGAAATCTCACAGCAGTTGATGCTGGAACGAAGAGCCAAGAAAAAAAGCATGAACTCTTACAACAAGATGGCGGAAGTAGAAAACAAAAAAGGTTCGTTAAACTCTTTAAACCCTAATATCACTACGCATATTCTCCATACTGTTCTCCATACATTTCCTGAGGTGCTGACAAGGATAATTTGTTTAACAATCAAGAGCCATTTTTAGTTGGTGATCATTTCCTGTATTCTCCTGACCTTAATGCGTGATTCAGGGGTAATATTGTCAGGAGAAATTAAAAGTTAGTTACTCCCAAGGGTCAAAGGGTTAAGATTAATTAACCTCACTCTTGATGCTCAGTTAAAAAATCGCTACATGGCCGTCTACTGTGTTTGAAAGCTTCCCTTTGCACTCCACGGGGTGATTTTTCTATTTTAAATGACAGTGAACGCAATTTTAGCCTTCTATGAGCAGTTCATCCCTCTCGAGCCGCCTCTATGCAAAGACCAATAACTTTATGAAGTGTTAATAGGTGTATGCTTTTTCCAGATGTGAAAGACCTTGCTTCTAAACTGGTGAATGAAATCGAGGAATGTGACAAGAAGATTATATACTTGAAGAACGTTCAACGACAGTTGAGGGTGAGTGTGCAGCGTATGTTTGCGGCAGAATTTTAGATTGGTCACTAAAACCAAAATGCTTTGAGCAGGAAATAAGATGAATTCCTTTTCTAAAAGTACGCCATGTTAATTTCTCTTGCAAATGTTGATTTTCTGCAGAACGTGTACGCTGAACGCTTTGGATTGGATACCTCTCTGTTGTATTCGTTTGTTGTCAGGTAAACTGAAGCCATTCTTGTGTCAAGGTTTTCAAAGTCACCGACGCACCACAGTCGATCGACAGTCGGCCAACTGTCGACCGACGCGTTGGTGGGATCGGATTCTTTACCTTTATCGTTTCTTTGGATCAACGTTTCTTTGTATCTGAGCAACTATGCACCCACCCCTCCCCTGACCCAACAAAAGTCAACTGACAACAAGTAAGGGTTAATGTTGGATTAGGGGAGGGGTAAGTGCGCAGTTACTCAGATACTGATACTGATCCGTTTCTTTCTCTTTGCAGCTACAACACTTCTTGCGTGACGTTGGTACCGGAGTTGAACAACAACTTTTTAAACTTTTCCCCGATTTGGAATCAGAGAGGAAACGAAAGCGGAGAAATCGTGGACGAATCTCTCAGTGGACCATTGCTTCAATCAGGCACCAAACTGGGTTTATTCTCTTACCTGTTTGCAAGGTAGATTCAATTGAGTCTCATTACCCACCCTTCCCTTCGCGTTACATTTTTTTCTGTGGAATTGAGGGCTTGGCTTGTTAGCGAACATCATCCAAATGAAGATAATGCCCCTCAGTTTCTAACAAACAGAGAGCTTGTCCCCTATTACTTTATGTTAACATAGATTCAAATGTAGTTTTGAGCAGTAGTCGCGCGGATAGAATGATTAATGATTTGAAGGATTTTGAGGGCTTTTTTCATAAGTGGTTTCCCATGATGTTATTGGTGGCTGTACGCGAAAAGGGGTTGTGAGGCAAAACCCAAACACGAGAGACCGTTTGCAGGCGAAAGGTGGTAAGAGGTCTTTTATTGCAACCCCTGTGATTTAGAACCGCGCGGGCGCCTACACTAGCGCCATTTGGTCCACCTACCCGTTTTTGTGGGGGCTGCCTTGATACAGTGCGAGTGTATGATGGCTAGCCTTTTATCATCTCTCCACATTACTTTACTATTAGCTCGATCCCGGAGAGTCTTTTAAAACTTCTGTATGCTTTGAACCAAAGTTGGACTTTGCATTGATGCAATCATAATTTGTTTCTTTATTTTAGACATGCTATGAGTCAGGCTTATGTTCGGTATTTTCTGTACACATTTCGTTACATTGCAACTGCACAAGAGCTATTCAACTTCATCAAGGAAAAGTGTTCAACGTCACTCAGGTAAGAGAGTAGAAATAATAAAAACCCAACAAAGTAATTCAAAATTTCCTCTTACCGTAAGTTTATGTAGTTTGAAGAAAGAGTTGGCACGAAGGTTTGGTTTGAAAGGAAGTCTGGATGGAGTAGAAAATGTTAGAAAAACTTCACGAAAGTAGTCTTTCATTAACAGTCTTGAGTCAGGAAAGGTTTGCAAAGTAACATTTCTGGTTAGCTAATGACCAATCAGCCGGCACTCTTTCTCTCACTAATAATCATCCAATCGCAGAGGATGTCGCGGGCATGTGCGACTACGTACCAGGACTGGCCACCGAAACGGCGGGAAATGGAACTCAAGAGTCGATCAGGCTTACGAGTGTTACTTTTGCTTTTTTCTTCAGAACGGATTCTTCTGGACAAGTTTACAACCATCAGCTGCAAATTCGATACCGTGGCTTGGACTTACTGTCTGAGTGGATTGACATCTTTTATCAGTTTGATTTCAAAACGAATCCCAACCTCATTAAGGAGCTGCTTGCCTTTGTTAAGGACGAGGTAAGATCATTCAATGTTCCTTTAATTATTTCTATGAATCTTTGGCTCCGCTTCCTTCTTTCCCTCCTCATTCTTCACTCATCCTCTTTTTAAATTTATTCCAGTTAATCCTCGTGGACAGAAGTGAAAGAGGTCATTACTTGATGGAGCTAATTGCAGAGAAACAAGAAAGAGATATGAATAACAATTTATCATCAGACGAACATAGTGATTTCGTGGCAGTACTTCAGCTTGAAGACCCTCAAGGTATTAGAACATATGTGAATACTCTTTTGAATAGTTTGCGAAGGAATGAGTGAGTTAATAAGTCTTATGCGCAATTTATTTTTATTTTCCTCCAGGTCTACGCGCTGTGGATGTTCTGAGAAAGGTGCGTGCAATTTCCAGACTATCGTTTTACTCTTGTATTTACAATGGAACTGTCAAGGTCAACGCAAAGAATTGTTACTAACTGCTAAATAAGATGCTCTCGGTAATAACATCAACGGTTTGATTGTCGCATTGCTTTAGAAAACGTTTTCTTTGGACAATTTCTTTAATATAGGAGGCAGTTTCCAATTGAGCGTCCAAAGCATTCCTAGCTTACGTTGATTTTGCTTTGCTTTGCTTTGCTCTTCGATTTAGTTAGCCAAGCTCAGCCACCTCGCCTCAAGCATTCAACCAATCAGATGCAAAACTGAAATAAATCAAGGCTTGGTCCCTGAGCTTCTGACGGTTGTGTTGTTGTCACTTGGGGTATATTGGCTTGTTGTGACTCAGATCGGCTGTTGTTGTGATTCCTAGCTCTGATTGGCTGAACGCGAGTTTAAGAAATGCACTGGATGAATATGGAAAAATAAATCCTGTCAGAAGAAAACAAAACTATTAATATTAATTGGGACATCCATGTGGTCAAATAGGAGAAGAGACCAATCAAGTAAAATTTAGAGGCAGCAACATAGAAAGACGCTGTTGAGTGAAGTGAAAGTTGAGCAAAGGAACAAATCATCTATTCCAAGGCCCCCTGTTTTGTTTTGGGAAAGATATAAGACATGCTGAGTCGCAGACGCAATCTTTCTAAGTATGCTTTTCATACAACATCTATGCAAGCTGTTCTCTTGTATTGCAATAATTTCAATATATCAACAAAGTTGAAATGGTAAATTGGCCACCGTTACGATTATAAAAGCTGACGTTTCGAGCGTTAGCCCTTCCGACGAAGGGCTAACGCTCGAAACGTCAGCTTTTATAATCGTAACGGTGGCCAATTTACCATTTCAACTTTGTTGATATATTGAAATTATTGCAATACAAGAGAACAGCTTGCATAGATGTTGTATGAAAAGCATACTTAGAAAGATTGCGTCTGCGGCTCAGCATGTCTTATATCTTTCCCAAAACAAAACAGGGGGCCTTGGAATAGATGATTTGTTCCTTTGCTCAACTTTCACTTCACTCAACAGCGTCTTTCTATGTTGCTGCCTCTAAATTTTACTTGATTGGGCTCTTCTCCTATTTGACCACATGGATGTCCCAATTAATATTAATAGTTTTGTTTTCTTCTGACAGGATTTATTTTTCCATATTCATCCAGTGCATTTCTTAAACTCGCGCGCGTACGGTATCGGTGTTGGCAGGAATCAGTCCCCCACCAAAGAACGCGATAACATGTTTGGCTTTAGCACCGGAAGTCCACGTGCCTCAGAGATGTCAAGTTTGGGGGTGGGGCCTGTTTGTCGAGAACAAAATATGTACGTTAGTGAACCCAGTACAGATGGCCTACTAGAGGAGCTATTGGAGCATGCACACGAGGTGTCCTTATGGGTGGCAGTAGAGATATGTAGTGCGTCCTCCATAAAGGTAGCATGAATGTTTTGTGACTTTAGTTGTCTTCCACGCTTTATTTTTTCAAAATTGAGCAATCTCCGAGAACAAGCGTTTCGAAAGTCATATCGGGGGATAGCGTCTCTTTTTGGTAAAGCTCGCGCGTACGATGTGGCGATTTTTACCTAGGATATACAACCATAGTATTCTCTTGGGTTGAGAGGGATAGAAGTACACAAGTGAACGTAGATGGTGTCAGGGGCGCAACCCAGCTAGAAGGAAAGGGAGGGGAAGGGCAAGGGCGTAGCTGTCGTCAGAGCGATGTCAGTTTGGTTAAATTTCAGCAATGTGTCATTTTATTGATTATAACAAAGAATAGCATGGTAACCTCCAACTGCACTTACTTGTTGCAGGCTCAACTCGCTCTGATAACCAAATTCGAGAATACAGCCCGGTACTGTTGTGAGATTCGTAACTACAGCACCTGTATCCAGATCGTCGACGCTCTGGAGATGTTTGTGATCCGTCAGTTACCGGTAAGTTAGTTTCTCCAGAGTTTGAAACAGTTGATTCAACCCGAGTACTCCTTAATAATTTCACATGAACTTTTTTTTTTCCAATTTTTGTGCCCTAGAATACATTTATCCCTACGAGAAAATCAGATCTTTTTTCCTTGACCTACTCCGGAGAGAAATGTTTCACATCTTTATTCATTTTGGACGTATTTCCATCTTGTTTAGGCCTGGAGACAAGTCCCGACAAAGACGACTGAGACACTTGAAGAACTCAAGGCTGTTAAGGTGGGTAAAACGTCTGCATGGCTTGCAGCAGGAGAATATGAACTGAGCTCGATCAGTTGATAAACTCTTGTTTGGAGAAAAGCGTCTTTTAAGTGTCACCAAGAGTTTCAGAACCAGTAAGACATATAACCAGTTATGCGCTCCATTTCAGGTTTTGTTGAAGACAGACAGCTCTTGGTTAATGAAGAGTGAAGCGTCACGTGAGAAGCCCACAATTCCTTGCTTCCTTTTGTTCGTGATTCACGTGCAACAGCAGGAACTTGGAGGGTTTACTTTGCCAAACGACATGTACAAATGGACTAAAATGAGGTAATCACTTCCCTTCAGCTAGAGAAATTGACATAAAAGTGGCCATCCACTAGAATCGTGGGCTCGGTTTAAACTTGTTGAGAGAGGAGTCGCTTGCTCAGTTGTGGATGACATGCTATGCGTTGACATGAATAGATTGGTTCATTGACTAGGAAATTCTCTTTTAGAGCAGTTTTCAATGCAGTGTCGAAAGTAATCCGAGTTTGCATCAATTTTGCTTTACCCCGATCTGCGATTGGTCCAAAAAACTCGCTTCTTTTTCTCAACCAATCGGATGCAAAACTAAAACCAATCTCGACTTGGTCGCCCGTGTTTTTACACGCTTTAGGCAGTTAACTTGTTTTTACTTTGAATTTTCCCTGATTCTTTAAGGTATTTGCCTTTCTTCTGATTTGCCACCAACTGTGTTTATCTTTGTTTTAGTTTTAGGATACTAAATCAAAAATCGCGTCAAAAGACGTTCTTTCCGCTACGAGTCTCGACTAATATTCTCTACTTAACTGAACCCATCTGATGGCTTTCGTCTCAAAGCATTGCCAAACCCCGCTCTAAAGTCAAGGGCTTTGAGATCACTTATTCACCTGTTTGAATTACAGGTCAACAGCCCGATTAGTGGACCAGATTCGATTATTCAAACAGATGCCTTACGCCTTCCAAACGGATGATGAAGTGAAGGAGAGACTCAAACAGCGTATACAGGAGTGTAAAAGTGAAAACCTTCATGCCCTTGCGTCTGAAAACGCTAGTAACTTTCACTTATCCTCCTCGCAAGGTTCCAAAAAATTCCACGATGCCTTTAGGAAGATGAAAGCTACTTTTGGTGGTCATAATTGAAGATGTCTTCAACACGGTCATCTCGCTGTCACGATTAGCTGTCTTTTCATATCAGACGTTATTTAATTGTTGAGTTAGTTCTGATGAATCACAATGACCTCCAAGATTAATAATTGAGAGGGAGGGGAGGGAGAGTCTAATATTGATAACTGAGAGGGAGGGGAGGGGGAGTCCAATATTGATAACTGAGAGGGAGGGGAGGGGGAGTCCAATATTAATAACTGAGAGGGAGGGGAGGAGGAGTGTTTAGATTTTTTAAGAGTTAATAGTTTGTAAAGCGTTAAATTGTGGAAAACGCGAACCAGTTTGTCAGTGATCGTAAATAAATACTATACTTTCACATGCGATTACGCAGATTTTGGTTCTTCTTAAGAAAGAAGTACAGTGGGCACATTTATTTGAAGCTGTGAGTCTGCTAAGATGAGTTTTCTTAATTTGCAGAACGTGTTATTTCACATCCCGGAGTAACTTATTTGTATTTTATTAAATGTTCGTCTTGGAGATTGTATATTTGTAGAAATAGGATCTTTTTGTATCATATTCTATTTAGAGTTGTTTGATGAAAACCCAAACGCGGGAATTCTTGGAGCTATATTGTATTATTCAGATTAGTATATTTATTTATTGCTTGTGACCACTGTCGGTTTCTCCGATAGCACAGGATATTAAAAAAATTATTTCAATTAAGGAGAAAATGAAAAACTGAATAAATTGAGGTTTGACTTTCATGGGTAGCAATATTTTGTCTTACTTTAAGCCGTTTGAGGGATAGCCAAAGTGTAGCCGTACCCCCCCTCCCTTCCGTTTCTCCTCGAGGAGGGGGTTACGGCTACACGAAGGCTATTTCGGGGAAGGGGGAGTTGTGAGATGGATTATGTTTTCCTTTCATTTATTTTATTTGTTTGTTTGTTTGTCTGTCTGTCTGTTAATTCGTTTGTTCCTAATCTACTTCAGTTAGACTCGACTGGTGATCGATATTTTTTTCGAGAGGGAGGCTTTTACTTTCATTTTTCCGTTTAGTTTTTCAATACTTTTGAATGTATTCACTGAGGATCGTTTGAACGATTCTTTTATTTTACCTTTGGTTACTTTCATTCGTTTTTTTCCTCTTCACGCAGATACATTCATTCCCGAGTTTTTTTTTTTTTTTTCACCGACCTGCGTTACTCAATTATGAATTTTCATAAAACTACTGTGATTTTTGGCGTTCTCTCATTGGTCCGAAGATGTGTTCAGATAAGATTACGCGGAAACGGTTGGGACGTTTCGGACGAGCCTATACGTCTCAGCAATATTTCAAAAAGGGAATACAGGATTATACCGTGTTAGTGAAGGGGACTGAAGGGAAAATGTTCTTAGCAAAAATTATAATCCTTGGAGAAGACCCAGTGACAGCTTGTTGCGGCTGGACGTAGGGAGAAATGTTTCCCTCTTAACAAGCTTCCCCTTGGTCTCGGAAGATAGGTAGTAAAAAAAAATCAACCTGAAATATAATAATGGCGGAAAAAGTGCACTCCGTGGTAAACGACGGGTTGTCCAGGCCAAGCTGGAATAAACGCCGGGGATGTCTAATCGAGAAAACACGGTACTTCTAGTTTTGTGAAGCGCTCATAGATGAAAAAAAAATTGTGTATATTTCCAAGAAGAAGAGTTTTATTCGCCTAGTCTATGATTCCCAAGCAAATTATTTTTCCTCAAAAATCCTATTGTGTGGCATTTGTGTGGTTCCCTTCGTCCTGAAGATTTCACGGACATATGGCTGTTCTTACACCACATAATTACCTTAAGAGTAATAAAAAAGCCAATAAAAACAGTCTACTTGTATCACGTGGTATTTTGCGACCGTTTGCGGGCATTTCAAATGCACCAAGTTTACGGTTGTTTTCCCGAGTTATAAACTCATAAGACTTCCTATTTCTGAAACGTCGTCAAAATGGAAGTAGAAAGGTAAGATATTGATGCGACTCAATTTTCTTTAAGTTAAGTTTCTTTTGGACCCCAAATTGCACGATGCATGATCTTGTTTTGATCAAAGAGATCTTTAGCGTGATCCATGGAGGACACTGAAAAGTACACTGTGATGCTTCAAAAGCAGTGACCAGTTTTTCAAAATCTTTAAGGATTTCGTTATTATTACAAAGCTCCGTCTTCGAAACGGTTCAGAATACAAATATGTGGATATTTTAATGCTTAGCCGTTCACGAATAAGCTTGCTTTGAAAGCAGAAAATACTGTAACAGTTACTCTCAGCGAGCTTAGTTGTTAATTACGAGTATGCGAGGAGTAAGCAAATTTCCATTTCCTGAAAGTTCTGTAGCGATCATGTGTGCTACAACTTCAAGGGTACTGATTTTGAACTTAAGACAGCTTTAACTTTAGTTTAACTGACATAAGATTAATTTAAACGAGCTATTTTCTATGTTAACACTGGGAAGAGTTTGTGTGTAACGTGACAATATCATGCGAGCGAAAGGTTTATCTGAAAGAGACGACCTTGACAATGATTATTCTCTCCAAACCAACAGTTCACAAAGGAACACCAGTAGGCTATTATCTACGTCTTCAGTGGAAGAGAGTGTGCAGATGATCAAATCTGAAATGATACCGTGCTTACAGAATTCTATGCAAACCCTCCAGAATATCTGGAGCGAAATTGGTTTACAAGAAGATCAGAAAGAGGAAAGAACTAGGTCGGTTTTGTTTCATTTACGGAATCTACTTCAAGAAATGGTGAGCGAAGAGGAACAATTGAAAACCACTCTTCAAGCAAATGTGGAAACTTGTACTCAAGAACTGGAAAAGTTAAGCCAAGAACTGGGATTACCAGTGGAGAAGGTAGGTGGGCATAAAGTGAGATCAGATTGAATGATCACCACTGTCTAGACACATTTTAGTGGACAGATACTAGTTGTTGGTCAAGTAAATGTTTCTCTTTGAAGTGTCAGTTACTGTTGAATTGTTAGTGATTACTGTTTTCACCACAGCCAGAAAAGCCCATGAGCATACTTATGTTGGAAAATGACCTGCGGACAAAAGTAGACAACCTGAAACTGGTAGGGCACATGTTCTTTGTAATAAAATGATATAAGATCACATTTAAATACATGTATTTGTGTTTTAGTGGAACAACTCAAGCTTACTGTGGTTGCTGTCATGACCAGTCTGTACATGTACCTATGGCCAGATGCTAATAGTAACTCACATGTAACACTCATATGGTTGCAATAAGTATGTGTACCAAATCGGCCCCAGTCATTCAAAGGATTGATAATGCTCTTTGCTGAATAAATCTCTACCTGGTGGAAAGTGCAGTTCTTTTTCTCGGCAATTATCTTCTGGATAGTGATTTATCCACTGGATAGCATTATTTGCCCTTTGGACAACTGAACCCAATGAATAGTGCTTTTTGCATGTGCTCAGTAAAGTGATCAACGAGTACTATTCACCCCCAGCTGCCAAAGTGACAAAGTCACATGACCACTTTTCATATAATGACAGAAATAGAATTTATTACTATGCAGTGTACAACGTATTCTAAAACAATTACTTAATGTCAGTGAAATTGGTGGAATGTTTACTTCCACTTTGGTGAATAATTGTGTAATTAAAAATTAGCCTCTCAAGTTGCATTTTTTTAAGGCCAGTGACAGATATCCCTTTTGTACTGAAAGTTTTGGGGACAAGGGGTCTTTACTTTCAAGCCAGGCATTTCTCAGTGAAGTTTGCTGACAATTGTCTGTTGATTTTTTTACAAATGAATAGAAACTGTCAGTAATAAATTACTCTCAAACAGAAGTGAACTTGGTGAAGAGGGTGACTTTTCTTGCAGGAAAAACACGATCGCATGAAAACGTTGAAAAACTTGAGAGAGACAGAATCAAAGTTTTGCATGCAGATGTGTCTTCCAGCTCATGACCTGGGTGATGTTAATGTACCAAACAAGGAACAATTAAAAGAATTAGAGGCAAATGTTGAATACTTGCACAGAGAACATGTGAGTGACACAATTTCTGTAATTTACTAAGGCTGTAGTTGTTTTTATTAGTAGTTAGTTTTGGTTGTAGGAGATTGCTGAATGCATGTGTCATGCTGAAAAGAATTGCACTTCAGTCACCCAACTGAATGAAAGGAGACAAGCACTTTTGATTAGATTATAGACTATGAGCAGTCCCTCCTTTTAGGTGAAGTCTGTGGTGTGAGTAAAAAAAAATTAAATTAATGAAAACAAAATTGATGTCAATGTTGCTCAGAGCTCTGGGAGTGAGGCACACAAAAATTAGTTCTGCATGGCATGCAGAGATCAATTGTTTTCATTTTTTTAGTATTAGTTTCTAGACAGACTTCCTCAAAAAGGATGAACTTTTTATAGTCTAACTTCTCAAAAGTAATTATGGATTATGATAATGATTAAAATTATGCTAAAACTAGTAAGTTATGATGTTATTTGCCACTAGTAATACTGCATTATATATGGAAGCATGAGGATAACAGTCTGATGTTTTCAGGGGTTTCAATAAAAGCTGGTTAGTGGCAGTCTACAGCTGCCTATGAGATCTCCAACTGCTGTCTATTCAACCTGTGTACAGGCTCTTGTGTTTGGGTTTCGCCTTATGGCACAGCCGCCTATTATACCATAGGTAGCTGCTCTTGGGAAAAGTTAGTAGAGCATCTGGTATTTAACAATTCCATGAGTGCGCGTTGGATATGAGATGATAGATAGCCAACGAGGCGCATAGCACCGAGTTGGCTATAATCATCTTATATCCAACAAGAGCGAGTGAAACAATTGTTTTATTAAAAACATTAAATTCAACATTAAATTTGACTAAATTTTTAGCTCTCCTTTAATTTTAAGCTGACATGAACGCTTACCATATTTGTAGATTATGGTATATTGGCTCATACCATCACGGCTAAGCCAATAAAAGTCTTGTATTATTAAAA